TCAGGTCTCAAAACAGTAAATTCGAATGCTTTTTGTTTAAATTTATTTGCTCTATTTGAGATATTTTGGGTTTATATGAGTGCTAATTTAATTTGTAAACAAACTGTAACGGCCCTACTGGCGTCGCACCTATACTCGGCCGTCGGAACAAGTGCGACGTTCCGACGAGTAGGAGAGCGCGGCGTTCGTGACACAGCGTTTGGCGCGAGCCAGGGTGTAACGGCCGTCGGTATATATAGATTGGCCACCATCTGCTGCACGATAATGTTTAATGAAACCCTGTTACATTACATTTTTCAGTGGAATGCAAGGCTATATTCAGTGCTCAGTCCGTATCTGCAGATTCCTATGTCACACTAGATATTTATCTCAGGTAATTTGATTCGCTTAGACTATAGTTGTATACCAAGGCTATGTGTGTTTGCTAGTTGGCTACGCTTTAGTAATTCAGAAAATTGTCTATAAATTCTCAGTCATATTGATTATAGAGATGTCTGACTTTCTTTATTTCTTTCAAAAACAGAACGACCTGTCCATTTCCGATACGTTTCAACAGTCTGTCTGTATTATTCAACAATCCGAATTACAACTCCTTGTGTGTCGTGAACGGTGCAAACAATTCTGACGTCTCTGAAGAGGGCGACCTGTATCTGGAACCGAAGAAGATAAAAAAGATCACATTCACTTTCACTCCTCTTCCTGAAGATGTCGGCAAGCATATCGAGGTTTTTATCAACTCTGCTTTTTATTCCAAGTATTTTATTTATGTTGGATGTTTCCTATCAGTTCTTAACTGTTCTCCATAGGGGTCCAGGAGGAAACCTAAACTAAACTAACTGTATTAATACTGGATAGCTCTATCAGTTCTTAGCTTTTCTTCCTAGAGGTCCAGTAAGAGTCATCTCTTGTTAATCTAGTGTTACTACAGGAGGGAATCCAAGCTAAACTAACTCTGTACTGGGTAGCTTTATCTGTTCTAACTGTTCTCCCTAAAGGTCCATGCAGTAAGGAACATCTCTTATTGTTCCAGTGTTACTGCAGGAGGAAACCTAAACTAAACTAACTTTATTTATACTGGATAGCTCTATCAGTTCTAAACTGTTCTCCCTACAGGTCCAGTAAGGATCATCTCTTGTTACTTAACCAAGCATAACGTAATTAGGAATTCTATTCAAGTAATTTTGCATGCGTAATTAAGATATTTGATGAAAACACTAGTGACTTTCATCAAGTATCCAAATGGCATCTTGTGATCAAATAGGTGATTATCATTGGCTGAATTGCTCATGAATTATTAATGAATTTGAGAAGAGAATTTATGCTACGCGCGCGCGGTCACGTCCAGTCAACTCTCATGCAACTCTCGTTCTTCGTTTGACCGAGAACCTTTGAATTAATAGTTGTATCATATACCACAACAAAACAAAAATGACCAAAAAACAACGAAAATATTTTTAAAACAATTTGTACTTCAGGCCCCGTATAATACTGTAGTTGTAAACAAAACAGTATTTACACGCTTTTAGTATTTTTATTCATTAGAAATACTGTATATATATATTACTTTCGTATAATAAACAAATGGGAAAATTAAGCAACCAATGTTGATGGCTGCATGCATGTGTTTTATTTCTGAGAACCAGCAAATGGATGATAAATTTGGAATTAATTTCGGTCGTTTAGGACCGAGGCAAAAACTAGCGATATAACGGGTGGATTTAACTCAGAATTTCATTCTAGACACAACAGCATATTCATGCAAATGCTGTGAGTCTAATGAAGCGGTTTTTGTCTTCAAAGAATTAATACAGAGCGGATTTTCTACAATGCCCGGATAGATTGTCAATATACAGAGCAATTCATCTAGTAACGCGTCGTCGGAAAGCGTTTACTACCTTCATTCCTTCTCGACGCAGAATTGAGTTTCTCCAGAAAAATATGACACAGTTAAATGTCGAGTTCAAAGAGACAAACGTGTTTGACCAGAGACCAAATAACAAAGATTGCCTCTCAGACAACAACGTTCTTGATGCTAAACCGAAAGCTGCGTATATAATGTACGGGCAGAAACAACAGAAAAAACAGCCAACTGCCAAAGAACACGTAGAAATATGTTTGAGACTCAAGATTCGTGTTTTCCTATTTTCATCCATCGCTGTAGTTGGAACAACCCTTTCGTCCTCGCGTTTTGACTTTGCGATAATAAAAATTTTGTAATTTGTATAAATGAACAAGAATAGGAGGGATGATGCAGCTACAGTTCCAAAAATACCGAAAATTATTTTCAAATAATTAAAGTATATCAATGGCGATATGCCGACTGTTATAACCGTCCAAAATGCCTGAAAACATAGAAGCCTTGTTTTTGTGACTGATGCTTGATGGAAAAATGGACGCGTCAGGGCTAGGAATCGTTCAACATTCAGCGTAAAAAGCGCAAATAACGAGGAACCACAAACAGCGAAACATATGGATTTCCTTGTGTCCTCGCGTATTTCATCAATTTCCCCTTGGGAAAAATATATGGTAGATACGATGAAGAGTGGATGAGTGATGGTGACTACAGCCAGATCCAAACAAGATAATACAAGAATCATAAAGTAGCATAGTTTCTTTCGAAGTTGTGACGACCTCCATAGACTGATTATGACGACAGAATTTAGGAATATTCCTGCAACCATAAAGATTATATTTATAACGCACAGAAATACGACGCTAATAATATCACTTTTTTGCATATTAAAGTCTTAATTGTCATGCATGGATGCACATATTACTGTCCGTTTCTTTTTATAATTATATATTCGTCTGCCGTTTATATACATCCGACTTAAACTGAATATTTTAATTTAGGAGGCACTTGTGTATCTGCTGTTGTCGTATATACACAGTCATGTTCAAAGCAAAATAATGACATGTTTTGTCGTTTTGAAGGACTTTAGTAAGTGGAGGGCGTCGTCTTTGAATTGTTCTTGTTGATGCAAATTTTGAGCGAAAATTATGTACATATTTCCAACCACTCCTGCACCTTTTCCTTTTCCCGGGTGTAAATAGCCGTGCGGAATTAGTATACTCTTGGCGTGGACCATTGAACTAGAAATAAACTGGAAGGCTAACTCAGGGGGGGGGGGG